GGAATCAGAGTTTGTTAAAACAACACTTTCCCAAGCAATTCCTCCATCAGTGTCCAAAGCGTCGGTACTCCAATTTTACACTTCTCTCTCAAAGGAAAACTTGTTTTCTATGATTGATGCTGAGGGTCAGGAGGAGGGAGTGGAGACCACCGTAAACTGTAAATGAGCAAGATCAGAACAACTAATAATCTTGGAAAAGGAGGTTTTGTAACAGTGTCTTGATGAGGCCTCCAGGCACATTTCTGGCCAAAAATAAACATTTCCTTGCAGAAAGGCTGTCAAAAGCAGCATCGCTGTTCAAATTTTAGATTCACCTTAGCTCTATCTAGTCAAAATGAGTAAGATACTAAAAACATGTGACAAGTTGCCCAAATGAAAAGAGACAAGTATCATCTGAGCAAGCCTCTAGCAGCAGAAAAATGAAAACATCCTTATTCTTGAATTAATTCAAGTTTTGCTTAATGGGAATACCTATTAAGATTATAAATGTTAGCTCTAAAAAAAGGTGTCAGCTTTCAAATGCCCATTACACCCAACACTGTAGCATTAGGTCACCTCTCAGTTCCAGATTCCAGGGAAAAAGCAAGCTCCCTCTGCATGTTTCAGATAACCAGTTATTTCAATATCCATTTCCCTCCAAATATACTACCAGCATATCCAGGTACACGAGAGTCTGAAACCTGCAATCACTGACATTTTACTTGGGCAGTTTCAAAAGGATTCTTTGGGAGCAAGTTATCAGGCTGGGCAGAAAAGTATATTTTGTTCAAGTAGCAAACACAAAGTATTATGATTAATAACAGCAGCGCAGCAGTGGTGTTTACTTCCAAAAGGAATGACATGAAGAACAAAGAGATGACCAAGGAGACATGACTAGAGCACAGCCCACAAATGAGCATAAAAAGCAGGGGTCTTTACAAACGGAGAAGCCACGGTGAACCTGAAATTGCATGAGCTGCTCACCCTCTGAACTACCTTAGAGTGAGGCCCTGTTCATTCAGATACCAAGTCTTTTACTTCTTCTTACACAGAGAGTGACCTAGCTGGCCGTATCATTCTCATCTAGCAGTGCCATATATGTGAAAATATCAGTGTTTTTAGCAACAGCCTCCTTGCTAATGTGGAGACTTCAAGGAGAACAGATCTATTACATGGGTTTTTTCCATCTGGGGTTTCTGCATACAGTTTTATTTCTGCTACTGTTAGCCAGGAAATAGCTGTAAAATGCTATGCCATTTTTACTAAATTAAGGTAGTGGCAATTTAGAAGTATTCTATATCTCTACAGCACTGTTCAAATGAAACTATCAAGTGCTTTACATAAAAGCTATAACAGCATTAGAGTACGCAGTAATATTCCTGATTCTTGATTAAAATTTGCCTCTCCCAAGTACTGTATATATTAATATCTATCTATCTATATTAAAACCAGTTTAATTGCAGTTCTGAAGTTTTTTTGAGAGCAGCACCATGATCAAAAATTACTGGAAACACTGTTTAAAAGGAGTGTATGAGTAAGCTGTTTACTAGGTGGAATTACCATAAACAAGATGGTTGTATTTCAGAACACGAAACTTAAAATCAAGGGAAGGGTGTTGGCTGCTATAAGGATTCTTTTGAAAAGAATATTGCCTATGTAGCAATACAGAATCCATTCATTCTTAATGCATTTATTACATGCAAAGACTGAAGTGGAAACAACTGCTAGAAGCACTAGAATTGAAGCTGCTTATGGAGTTTTGGATTTCCCCCAGAGGGCTTCCAGGGTGTAACAGTCCTGTTAGCTGGCAAATCCTGGCCTTATTTGTAGTGGACACTGAATGAAATTTAGCAAATGAGACAAGACATTCATGAAAGAGAATAGGAAGTGTTTTGACTAAGGTCTGGCCACTTGGCATGACACAGTATGATCACCTGATCAGGCAACTGTTTAATACAGCACTGGGTTCTCATTTCTGCTAACAGCCCCCCTAAGTCCAAGATAAGTAAAGTCCAGGTTTTGCTATTTTGGTGTAACAGGGTAAGTGCTGCTTTAGGAAGGCCTGCAAGCTAATCAAGGTACTTAACACACTTTGTGAAACTTTTCCAACAGGGTTTAGGTTTGCTTAGCAAGTACATAATTCAAAAGAGCAGATAACATGCTAGTTATAGCAGTAAACCTGTATTTATTTGTGGTCTTTTAAATCTTAATACAAAGACTGATGCCATTAGCAACTAGGACTTTTTTAAACCTTTATCTCAAAAGGTCAGTTTATGCGACACAGACCAACTATATTGAAGATCCTGAGGAGCATACTTAATAGGAACTAAGAAAATAACTTTGCACTAAGTTTAGTACTTGCTTAAACTTTACTGCTGAAATTATTTTATATTCCATCTGCATGGAGGTCTGTGTCGACATGGCTATGTTACTTCTAGCTGTTTGTAAAGACTTTGCTAACAATTAGAACAGGAATCTAACCTACACCTAGCCTGCAGTGTAAACTTATTACAGTGTATACCTCTTCACATTTTTGGCTTGTCTATTTAAGATATTGTTAACCTTATCAAGAAATTGCCCCTTTTCCCCTTAAGCCTACCTACCTGGGCATAATGCCACTAAGCTTAGTATCCTCCTGCTGGGATTGCACAGGGAGCAGTCAGGAGCCAAGAGCCAAACACAGGATCATCAGTACTGGAAGGTATGAAATTCCTTCTCTGCATCTGTATACGTGTCAGTTGAACACTGCATAACTAATAGCAGCTGATTGGCAACATAATTGGCATCAACTACATTTATGGAAATGAAAGTAAAATCAAGTATAATTAGCCTTGAAATAAGTATTAAATGATACTTAGTCATATACACCTTATAGGGGCCAATTAGTCTTCTTTTAACGTCCAACCGATAGCTTCTGGACTGTTCTGCATCACCCATATCTGTTGCACGCAATCGGAGAATTTCATAAACTCGCCTTGTGTGATGCTGGTGAACAGAAAGGAGAATTAAAAGCATGTCTGAATAAAGAGGTCACTCAATACAACTTAAAGTGGAGAAATACTGAAATATTAGAGTAGTTTCTCAGCTTATTGGAAGACAGTCAGAGGCATGGACAATGCCTTTGTCAAACCTATCCTCCTGTCTGGTGGGTTAAATGAACAAACATTCTTGGTTTTCCTTCAAAACCATTTTCTTCCATGCAGCTGGTGTCTGATCTCTCAAAGTGCTGCACCAGCTGTAGAGGTGCTTCAAGGACGTGCTGTAAAAGGGCAGCAGAAAGTTCAGAAGCCAGAGTCCAAAAATACCTAAAAGAACTGAAGGACTGGAACTACAGTGGCATTAAGCGATATTTTACTAAACAGTACCCCCTTTGCTAGTTTTAATGATCTCCATATACCTACTGCCCCTCACAAAGCCCCCTGGAAGTTTTAAATATGAGAATGCAACAATACTGAAAGTTGTCTATTTACTAGGGAAAAAAAAAAAGAAAGAATTAGTAAATGGAAAAACTGAAGTGCTTTTAGAACCAGGATCACCTAGTATCACATCTAGGAATTAGAAAAAGATATCCTGTTACTAGTAACTGCTGCATCTGCATGAAAACAGAATTTAAACTCAAGTATTCTTTTGCTGAGCAACAGAATATAAATAAGATTGTTTGCTACAGTAGCACACGTTCAGACACTTAAAAACCCACTTATTTATCCTTTTAGGCTGAAGATACCAGACCCAGGCGGCCATGGATGCAGCTTCCTCATACAAGCTATACCATTTTCATGAACACATTTGAATATGGCTTCACAATCCATCCCTCAAGCCCCAACGTTTTCATTACACTACAAATACATTTTTTTAATTAATCAACTCTGCCTTTCCATTACCAAACTCACTAATGAGTTAAATCATGTATGGTATTACCAGCAAATTTAATTGTTCAATTTAACTGTTTAGTTCCAGAGTTTAGAGCTGTCTTGGTAGCAGCTGTTTGACTAGCCTTAGTGTTCTGCATTCCCTAACCAATGCTTGTTATTTGTACAAATCTACTTGAAAAATGCAAACCATGCCAAATTCTACTACATCAACAGAATTAGTAGGTAGAAAAAGCATTTCTCTAAAATCACAAGCTAGGTATCCTCCTTCCACATATATCCTAAAAATCTGTTGAAATAAACTACAGTGTGTAAATTCCAAGCCTCCACATCTATATTTAAATAGTTACTCTACTAGTTTGATAAGAAAGTCCAGCTACAACTGTTCTGATTTAATACCTTATTTATTTTCAGTTTTTGTTGAGCTTCCATCATCATTTCTTGACTGAAACCTTGTATTAGCTTTCCTGGGGAAAAGCAAAGCAAATCTTGACAGAGCTTTGCAAGAACAAAGTCTCTTAGCTTCACATAGTTTTCTGATGGATCTTCAGCTAGAAAGAATAAAAAAAGCATGCAGTTAATACCAGCATTATTTCGCCCCCCCCCCAATCTCTGGTACATAATTACAGAGAAATATGGAAAATCAAGTATTCATCAGTATGTAAACAACCATGCTTAGTTTTAAGTACTGCCATCAAAGTTTTAGATGTGTGACAGTAGACATTAAAGAGACTGTAGAAAGAAAAAATTCCAGGATTTTGTGTAAGCAGTACTATACAGTGTACACAATGTACACATTTAATCCAATTTATCTTCTTGGGAAAAGAAAACTACTCTCTATAAAAAACTTTGTTCTTGTATGTTCCATCTATTCTGTATTTGGATGATGTATCCAGGGAAGCATGGCCAGCAGGTCAAGGGAGAGGATTCTCCCCCTCTACTCTGCTCTTGTGAGACCCCACCTGGAGTGCTGCATCCAGCTGTGGAACCCTCAACATCAGAAGGATATTGACCAGTTGGAGCAAGTCCAGAGGAGGCCACGAAGATGCTCGGAGGGCTGGAGCACCTCTCCTAGGATGAAAGGCTGAGAGAATTGGGCTTGTTCAGCCTGGAGAAGAGAAGGCTCTGGGGAGACCTTATTGCAGCCTTCCAGTACCTGAAGGGGCTACAAGGAAGCTGGGGGGGGACTTTTTACAAGGGCCTGTAGTGACAGGACAAGGGGGAACGGGGTTAAATTGAAAGTGGGGAGGGTTAGATTAGATATCAGGAAGAAGTTCTTCCCAGAGAGGGTGGTGAGGCACTGGAACAGGTTGCCCAGAGGAGCTGTGGATGCCCCATCCCTGGAAGTGTTCAAGGCCAGGCTGGATGAGGCTTTGAGCAACCTGGTCTAGTGGAAGGTGTCCCTGCCCATGGCAGGGGGGTTGGAACTAGATGGTCTTTAAGGTCCCTTCCAACCATAACCATTCTGTGATTCTAAGATATTTGACAATCATGGTAGAACTACTAGAACACAAACTAATTATGTTGGAAGACTGGTAGAACTATCCTACTGTACACAACTAAATCAGCTGAAGACATGTACTGAACGTGAGTTACAATCTTTATTAGCAAGGAAGATCAGGAAAACTACAAGGACCCAAAGGACAAGCTGATGCAAAATTAAAAGGCTGGTAGGACCTAAGCAAAAACTGACCACAATTTTCAGTTGCTTCCATTCCGCTTAAAGTGGCAGCATAACTATTAAAACTGTTGCTTCAGAAAAACACCAAAGTTGAGAGCTAGTTTCGGTGAACATCACCACAGTCCCATATAAAATTGTGTTCCCACTTATGAAGTATGCTGAAGGAAAATGCTTACAGTGATGTGAATATATTTCTTCCTTACTTACTTGTTTAGACAGGCTTACTACAAACACATACCAAGCCACATTCCCCCTGACAGTTATTTTCCTGCGGACTAGCATTGTGGAATTTATTGCTACACAGCTTATATCCCAGTGTGTTTTAATTTGGTTTTGAGGACCACTATAAAATAGTTGAAATTTGTAGTTTAAGGACAATTAAAAGCTAGTAAGTTACCAAGAAGGACAGGATAAAAGTTTTTGCTGTGTATATGCAGCACTGCACAACTGGCAGTTTATTTTTTGGGTTGGAGAATGCTTATGATGATTGTACCAGTTTATGTTTTGTGCATGAGTGGCCTAATGTTATGGCAAGTCTTATGGCAGCTATTCTGCAAAAGAGACTGGAGCTATACTAAAATTGATTACACTCCTTTTTGCTCAGATTACTTAAAAGAAGCAGCAGCTTCTGTACATTAAGCATTATCAGCACACATTTCACCCTGTCAGTTAGGATAACAAGTTACAACAAAAATTTTGTACTGCTTGTAAGTGTGAAACTCCAAAGTAATTAGAAAAAAGGCATTGGCTCTTTCAAGAAGTTAAGTAGATCTTAATTTCCTCTTTTCAGAAAGGTTAAAGGCTTTATTTCACAATTTTAGATGCCTCAAAACTAAATATCCTGGCCATATCGAGACTGTCCAGTCTGGGCCCTTCACAAAGAATGAATAATTCTGTAAAAGCCTTAATTTCCATAACTTAATGCCATGCAGAATATGGCAAGCCTTCTCCTGCTTTATTCTTTAAAGAAATAAAAACGTATTTCGGTGCACATTTACTGTTTGGTACAACCCTACATTTAAGGCACTGAGCCATGAGCATGCTAATGCATACATCATGTGACATGTTAAGACTTGGCATATCCTCAGCTACAGGACTATGCAAAGCTTTGTACTATTAAAAGGAAAAAGTAAAAGCACAATGCACATGATTTCCAGTTGCATAAGTGAGGTTATACTTCCTTCGGTTCCTATGAACTGGATTAAAATTATGAGGTGGATTACTTTATGTTAGGATTACCCTGCAGCCATGCATTATGAAAGCAAGTGTTCTGTAGTATTTTGATTAGAATGGGGTACTTCTCCTAAGATAAAGTCTGAGATAGCACCTAGGTTTGAACGGCAATTCTTCCTATACTGGACTGTAACTATTGAAGCCACAGGACAGATGTCATGTTTGTAGCCATTTTTTACGTTACTTTTTTTATGCATACAAACCCTTTTCCCCCCACTCTGCCATTTCATCAATTTTTTCTTTTTAGGTGCTCCCATCTTCAATACCATGGGTGCCTTCAGCCAACAATACATGCTCATGGAACAAATTCTCAGATTTTTACTGCCTGTAAAATTTTGGCTTGCACACTAATATCAACATGCTATTTTAGTTTGGTGTCTTCCCCACACCCGAGTTTTGGCTAATAGGAGTAAGTAGAACAAGGAATTTGTCAAAGCTTGATCTCTTGGCAAACTCAGCTGTGTATCTCACAATCAAATGGCTAATTAGCTGGTAATCCGTTCATGTTAGGGATTGAATTTTCCTGGTGTGCTGTTCTTTACTTAAAGGATTTAAGGAGCTACATTATATACAGTTCTTCTGTAAACCAGGGTACTATTAATCCTGAACTAAGCTGAAGCTAAATCTTCAAAAGGCCATTTCATTCTGACGAATGAACACAAAAGTCAGGTGGTTAGCCTGCCAACTGTGAATGCTACAAGTTGCTTATCAAACAGGTGAAGGGAGTTAAAAGCAGAACACAAACCTGTTATATCAAGTACTGTAGGAGAAGACATGTAGTATCTGTGAACTGTTTCAAGAAGCTGAGCACCATGGCCTTCTCCTTGGAATGGTGGCAAGATCAGCATCTGGCTACAGACAAAGGGAGAGTGCTCTCAGTTCAAATGCATGCATTTGCAAACATTATAATGTAAAGGCTTAAAAACGAAACGGTATTTTGTTTTAGATTAAAGTACATGTAGCAATCTTCACGTTAAAACGTAGTTTTTAAACAGAGTCTTAAAACTGCTAAATATTCAAAACTTGTTTGAGATGCCCTCCGCTTCAAGAAGGGAACAATGCAATAAATCAGTGCATAGCCAGCTAATAATGGGGATTTTTTTAAACAAATCAACACCATTATAAACAAGTATTGGGAACTTCAGCAGTTCCCCTCTTGTGAAATAAAAGGCAAGGCACGAGTTACACCGCCAATTACCTTACACGTGGCCGGGTTTTGTCTGGGTACACATAGTAATTATAGACTGTCATGTAGCCTACGGTCGCAAAGAGCGTAGCTCCATCCTTATTATACTTCTCAAATCTGCAGATAAAACAGAAAGCCAAGCAGGTCAATTACAGTCGCGCTCCCATGCAGTGTCCATTTTCTTTTTCATTCTCCAACTGAATTTTCAGTGTCAGCAAGCTACTCTGTGAGGGCCCAATGGGTACACCTGCTATGTTCTGAATGTACAATTCACTTAATTGGTGTGCAGCAACTTGGATAAATCAGGCCTCTTTACACCACTTCAGTGCACTTGCCTATTATAAAGATGAATAGGTGGCAAGTAAAAGAAAACACAGGCAAAGCTCATTTTACTGTTTAAGCCTACATTCAGGGCTCTAACGGACAACAGCATTTAATTCAGCTCTATTCTCAAGGTTTCCCAAAGCATAATGGAGGAAAACTCAAGCCTCATAAACAATGGTTTTTCTTTCCTGGGAAAAATATCATTATACTGCTCCAATAATTGGCCAGCCACAATTAAAATGCAGGCTTTGTGGAGGTAATAAGGTCTACTGTTGCTTTAGAACTGTACTTACACTAGAAAGTAGTTCCATCTTTCATCATCTACATCAATAAAGCTAGCAGTTTCAATAAACCACATCAAGAACGTCTGAAGCCTTTCATGATATTCTCGAAAGCCTGGACATGTCATGTCGGCCTAGGGAAAAAGCCAGGAGAAGTCAGGTGAAACCTATCACAGATGTAAGAGGGAAAATATGCAAAACCTAATTAAATCCAATACAAAAAAGCATGTTTATAATTACTGATAAACTGGTAAAGTGACAGTATTTTTATACTATAGTTGAAACATGACTGAAAGCGTACCACCGCAAAATAATTTTTAATCTGGTTGGTCACGAGCCTAAGTTTTGCTGATTTTTCATACCTTGTATATCTGACATGTTATATCTGCACCAGCATCCTCATTATGGACAGAATATGTGTGTAGCAGCATTCCAAAGGGCTTGAAGTTGACCTCCTTCTCCAGCAGAGACACAAAGTCATCTGTGTTTGTGCAAAAACCAGGAGGAATGATTTCTCTAATTTTACTTTCAACATCGTCCGCCTGGAGGTTATAGAAGAAGGCAGGATCAGCGGAAGACTAGAAAACAACAGTATCGACGTCACTACGCACTCTAAGAAATGAATATGAGAATTCTACGGCATAACAAGTAAAGAAAGCGCTCCTGTTATTCAGCAGTGACCTTCCAGCAAGTAGAGCTGCACTGATGAGATCCAGAAAGGTCCAATTCAGCCACTGTAAGCATCAAAAGCTTGTAGATACAGCATAAGTTCATGATCATCTTCATGTTTAAAGACTCTTATATTTGTCCAACTAGAACCTAAGAGTGTTGGCAGCTATTCTGCAAGTGCAGTGTATCTGGAAGTTGAGACTGCCAACCAGCAACTCTCCAGGACTATGCTACAGTTGTGCAGATTCTCAGGTTCCAAGCAAGCACCTTGCAAGAGGTAGTAGGTGGTGCAGAACTAAGTGGATGAAAAGGGACAAGACCAGAAACGGTAGTTCCAAAGAAGAAGGCAACAGCTAGCACTCCTGCATTCTTACGGCTCCCTGCTTGAAATGCCTGCCCATAGGATCAGCTGCAAAACACATTACAAACTCGGACGCCAGTGTCCCACGTTCAAATCAAAGAACATTTTGAAAACAAAGTTTGACAAAAAAAATATTCAAACTATAATTTAAGGATACTGCCAGCAAATCTGACCTTTAGTCTACCATACTGGGGAATAAGAAATATTCTGACACCAAAATTAAATTCAGAGATTACTCTTTTCAGACAACCATAGAAAAAGTTAGAGACTATCAGCTGAGCAGACTTCATAATCCTTTTCAGACCCCAAAAAGACCACTTGATTGAATACATTTACTACTTCCTTTTAACCATGAATATTTGATGAAGTTTCACAATAACCTATTACTGCTTCTCACCAGGCAATAAAACTTAATGAATTGGTCTCAACTTAACAAAACCGTACTCCTCAATACAACCCCTAAAAGCCTGACATTACATTCAACAAAATGAGCTTACGTTCAATTCAAACTTTCCTCTGGACAATGAATCCAGGTTTTTACTTAATGGAGTTTGCCGTGAGTTCAGCTGTAATGTTTGTATTGTATCTGTTTCCACAAGGACTGACACAAGAACACTTTGTGTTAACTTACTAAGCAGCTCTTTCACACCGTTTACATGCATGATGGGTATTAGTTCAAAACCAAGACCCTTGCTACTTAGCATTCAAAACAGGGAAATTAAGATGCTTAGAACAAAATACACTACAAAAGGCTAATACAACATGCTACTAACTCCTGTCCTTTCAACCACAGTCCCTTAAGCAGAAGCAATGCACCTGCAAGTGAATAGCACTTTATCATTCAGTTACATTTTTAGTGTAGAGAAAGATGGATGTAGTTCAGCACAAACAAGTTTTATTCTTAATGGTTTGGTACTACCAACATTTATATTTATATTTGTAGAGCACGCTATTAAGCGGCTCTACAATACTTGGTGTAAGAACCCAGTTAAAATGCGTATAATCTTTACATCCATTTCATTCTCAAAACAAAGGAGATGCATTTATTGGAACCTTTGCTATTATTCGTAATGCAGTATTAGTTAAACATCTTCTTTACACTTACTGATTTTACTGCATTACACAATCAGCCATTTTTTCCCCGAATCAATGAATTAAAGAAAAAGTATTTGTATGGAACACATTTCAGAAATCCTTTTAGCTGTGCAAGTACGTTTACACAAATCTTAAGTCTGCACTGCTCACAAAGCTGTAGGAAGCAGCAACTAAGAACCTGTAGTGACTTGCATTTTATAGATCTGAAAAAGGCATGTAAAAATCATCTAGAATTAAAATGAGACTTCCAAGCACTAGTTCAATAACTCAAACTACGTGGAAGATATCTAAAAAGGGCAAACACACAGTATGAAATACTATATAATATTTTAAGTGATTTTGCTCTCCTCATGTTTTTAGATTTCACCATTAGTGATATGCAGGAAGACAAACTTTCACTTGCTGAAAGCATGTAAGATAACGTATCCATCACCGGCTGTCACCACAGAAAAATCTTGTTTTCCATAAAATAGAAAAAGTGAAGTCATGAGAGCAGAGGCTTAGCAGATAAGGCACCAGATAACCATCTTTAGTTCTATATGACCACAACATATTTTCACCTAGTCCCCCATGGAAGTTCTCTCCCCTTGAAATAGGGCCTGACATAATTTAAGAGGTTAACCCTGAAAGTAACTGAAGAATATAGCAAGATCTCCCTTTCTGACAGGGGAAATCCCAGAATCCTGTTTGAATGATGGCACAAGTTTAAGTGACCCAATCTTCAGTTATTAGGTCCTGGAATACTGGAATCTAGAAATATCAACAACACACAATCACTTTGTTTCATTAATGCTCATACTTTTTCATGAAATCATAGGCACTTTCCAAACACTTCTCTCTAATGTGCTCATAATCCAAGGAGTTACCAAAAATTTGTTTACTACCTCTCCCTTGTGTATTTCTTTAATAGTGGCAAGAGGTTAGTTTCTTTTATCAGAGCAAGGGAATCCTATCTTACCAACTGGCACAGATGTACACTGTGACACACACAGCTTTGCTCAGAAAGACAATCCAGTTGACTGCTACAGCAGTGTTAAACATAGGCAAAGGCACTTACAACAAAGCGTTCAAAACCCTCAATGAAGCCAGACCAGAGTTGTTGAGCTTATGGTTCGTGGAAGTACTGCCTGTAACATATTACCTTCATAATCAGAACCATGTGAGGTGATGATGGGGAATTTGGAATAGGCTTGTAACTAAACTTGATTTGTAATAGGACTAAAGTGGGCAGTACCCCACTATACAATGCATTTGAATCTGGATAATTTTAGTATAGGTATTATTCTTGTACTAGCATGGACTTAGATTTGTATACAACAGATTCTGTTTCAAAGTGGCTTAATTTACAATAATTATAGAAATACATTTGAAAACTGAATTTCTAACAATTCTATGTATTAATTCCCGTGGGCAGCAGTGGAGTGATCAGTAGTACTGCTTAAAACAAGGATGCCCAATATTAAAATTACACTTCCATTAAGTTGTGTAAAGTAAATATGTCAGACCAGTTGCAAAGCAAAATCACAGAATGGTTTGGGTTGGAAGGGACCTTAAAGATCATCTAATTCCA